TGGCACTGTTCAGCAGCTCCAGAGCAGAGTGGCGGGCCACCTCCAGGGCCCCTCCTCTGCCCATGCCAGCCAGAATGTGGCTCAGGCAGGTGACTCCATGAAATATCCATCCTTCCACAGACAGGAGCCATCAAATAGGTCTGGGAAGAACCTGCCACCCGCAATCTGGGCAAGTTCCTCTCCCAGGGTGGGATATCACTTCTGCTGGGCAGTGGGAATGGTCAGTTCTGTGCTCAGTCAGGGCTGAGCACATGGTGGACTCAGGGAAACCTTTAAGTGCGATGTGGCTCTGCACTCGTGACAGGGCAGCACATGGGGGGTGGGGAACAAAGGGGCCACGGGTGACACCAGGAGGAAATGAAGCTTTGATGTGCGCAGAGAGCCTAGGAAATATTTTCTTGTTTTGCGTCTGTGGGGATAAACATGAACTTAGAGAGCCGGGGGAGAGGGCTGGCGGCCCTTGGGGACCCCTGTGCGTGGCACAGCATGCAGTGCTCGCACCTGATTCCAAGGTTCCCAGAACCTTGGCAGAGCCAGGGGACCCCTCAGTGCCTTCGCTCAGCCTTAGGCCGATGTGGCACTGGGCATGGGGTAGATGGGGAGAGTGGGAAGCCCCAGACCTGGCCTGTAGGCAGGAAGTACTGCCATCGCCTCCCAACTGCCCAGGGGACATGGGATATGGTTCTATGGCCTGTGGGTTCCAGAAGCCAGGACATAGGAGGGGCCTGGTCTGAGGAGCGCACACATACTGGGGGTGGGGGGAGGGGCTGGATGCTCCAGGGCTCTACAGGGCTCCTCCAGCACCCCCAACAACCTGTGCTGTCGAAGGCGGAAGCAGGATCTTCTGCTGTCCCCTCATGCTGGCTTCCTGCCTGCCTGGGAGGTGAGTAATGTCCGCTCCCTGCCCCCATGCATCCCTTCTGGAGGCCAGGCCTCACATTTTCCGCTCAGGAAGGGGCAGAGTGAGGGGCTGGGGAAGAGGAGGGGGAGGGGCCTGCAGTAGGGATTGGGACCTTGTCCTGCCACATGAGTGGCCATGGGGAGATGCCCTGGCTCACCTGCTAAGTGCGTGCAGCACAGATGCACCTTCACCCACCCCTTCACTCAACAACCCCTTCTCCAAGGGCCTTCTCCATGGCCTTCTCCCGTGTGCATGGAGCCCTGCCCACCCAGGAGAAAGCCTATAGCCCACAGTTGCTTGACAGGGGGTCTGGAGGGACTTTGATGGGTGCCGGGCAGAGGTGACAGGAGAAGCTGGTCTGCTTTGCCCTGGGCCTACAGGAGCTCTAATGTTCTGAGTGTGCAGGGATCTCACGCACTGTCCCTATGCCTGCTCAGCTCCCTCCCCTGCTGACCCTGGCAGGGCTCCCAGTCTCTCCAGATCCTCAGTTTCCTCCCCTGTCAGATGGGCCAGATCCAGGTCCTCTCACAGGCAGTGGTGGCTGTGGAGGGAGGCGGAGGAGCAGTGCTGCCATCAGCTATGGCTGAAAGGACTCAGCTGCCACAAGCAGTCTGGGAGCTGACAGGGTGAAGGGCCCTTCAGGGGGCAGGACCTCTAAGACAACCCCGTGGGGTGAGGGTTGTGTATCCTGACTCACTTGGGATGTGAGGTTCCAGCCACACAACTGTCCCGGCCAGGCCCCAGTTTCCATCTTTCTCTCATGAAATTTAAAAAGAAAGAGGGTAAGCGGGCGCTGGCAGCTCACTCCTAGCTAATCAGGAGGCTGAGATCTGAGGATTGTGTAGTTTAAAGCCAGCCCTGGCAGGAAAGTCCATAAGACTCTTATCTCCAGTGAACCACTAGAAAACCAGAAGTGGCACTGTGGCTCAAGTGGTAGAGTGCTCACTTTGAGCTGAAGAGCTGAGGAGCAGCACCCAGGCCCAGAGTTCAAGCCCCACAACCAACAATTTAAAAAAATAATAGTAATAAAAAGGAAGAGGGTATAGTGGCATACATCTGTAATCCCAGTATTCCGAGGCAGGCGGACCATGGGTCTGAGGCCGGTCCAGACTACACATTGAGACTCTTTCTCAAAAGAAAAAAAAAAATTTAAATAAGAAAGCCCTAACTAGTTGGGCTCTTGTGGCTTACATCTATAATCCTAGCTACACAGGAAGCTGAGCTGTGATGGTCCCAGTTGAAGCCAGCCCAGGCTGGGAAGTCTGTGAGACTCTAATCTCCAATTAACCACCAAAAAGAAGTGAAGGTGCAGCTCAAGTGTAAGAGTACCAGCCTAAGCTGGGTGCTGGTGGCTCACGCCTGTAATCCTAGCTACTCAGGAGGCTGAGATCTGAGGACCACAGTTCAAAGCCAGTCGGTACAGGAAAGTCCATGAGACCCTTATCTCCAATAAACCACTAGAAAACTGGAAGTGGCGCTGTGGCTCTAGTGGTAGAGTGCTTGCCTTGAGATGAAGAGAACAGGGACAGCGCCTAGGCCCAGAGTTCAAGCCCCACGACTGACCAAAAAAAAAAAAAAAGAGTACCAGCCTGAAGCTTTGAAAAAACTAAAGGACAGCACCCCCCCACACACACAGACCCCTAACCTCTTGAGAGGTGTGCCAACCAACCACCTGGCTTCTCCTCCAGTCACAGTCACTGGACTGTATCACCTGTCTGGGGGGAGGGAGGAGGAGGAGGTTATGGACCAGCACAGGCCTGGTAGCCCTGCAGCTCTGAGCTGCAAGCCAGTGCTTGGGCTGGGGAGCTGTGAAAGGCACAAAGAGACCAACTTGTCCCAACAAGGAACGACCCCAGCTCCTCTGGACGGCATGCTTAGCGCTTCATACATGTGACTTCACAGGGCACAAGAGCAGCAAACACCCAGCAGGTCTCAGGCATATGGCTGGATTCACTAGAGACCAACACATAGGGACACCTGGCAGGCCCACGGGGTGGGGGTGAGGGGGATATCAGATATCCAACTGTCCGTTGCGCCCCAGGCATACAAGACAGCCCTGAGCTGGTGGGGCTGAGTTCACAGGCGTGGAGCTATAGTGGGGTTCAGAGCACAGGGATGCCCCCACCCTCGTCCCTGAACAACAGGAGATGTGAGATCACCGACAGACCCAGCTCAAATCCGCCCTGTATGGAAGGCTGGGCCAGGACTCCAGGCTGTGGTGGTGTTTTCATGCACAGCCAAACTCTGGGGAACACTTGGGCAAGCACACTGGTCACAACAGGCCCAGACAGAGCCTCAGCAGGGCCCATGACCCTGCACTGGGTCCAGCCTCTGGAGAGCATATCAGCCCATAGCCTCCAGATAGCTGCTGATTGAATAATTCAATTACTGGTATCATAGACAACACCACCTCCTCCAACTCCTGCCCCCTCTCCCCCCAGCTCCTGCCGTCTACCCTGATAAACACTCTTCACCAGTCCAAGGCCAGCCTGCTTTAGTCCTATAACTGAGGCTGAGAGGGGCTGGGGGGGAGGGGTGGTGGTGTGTGACTTATACCCAAGATGGCCATAGGACAATGAACCCAGCAGCCTCTGATTTTCCTAGCCTCCTCATCTGTGCCCTTCCACCCCCACCCCCTACTGCAGTGGCAATAGTGCCAAGGATACCCCAAGTCCCCACAGACTCTACTTTCTGTTGCCCAACCCGAGGACCTGAAACCTCTGGATCTCCCAGGAAGCGTGCTGACGAGGGACCACCCCCTAAGGTGGCTGTGAGAACAGTGCCACAGGTTTCTTGGGAATATACTACTTTGGGTTTTGGGGAAACTGTTCTAGATCCTTCTTGAGAAGGTGTGCTTCTGATGAGAGTGGGGGTCAGCTGCTAGGCACAGAGCCCCAGAGCCCCTAGCAGCATGTGCGCAGCCCCATGCCCCCCCCCTCCCCGGCCCAGTCCCCAATCCGTGGGAACGCCGGAAGGCGGCAACGGCCTGGGAGGCTGGAGGCACGAGGGGGTCTCACTGACCTCACGAGGCATTCGAGGCACAAAAGCCTTTTTATTCCCCGCCTCGCACCCCACTCCTCACTCACTCAGCCAACCCTGGGATCCCCAGTCCCTGAGCCAGACACCTCCAGCTGCCTGTAGGCTGAGGCTCCTCCCAGACAAAGGCAGATTCAGGCTAGGAGGGCAGGCGTGCAGGTTCTGCCATGGAGATGAACTTTGACCCAAACTGCAAAGCTCCTACCCCTTATTTACTCTTTAAGGCTCACCCTTTTTGCAGCGTTAACATTACACCCCCTTTTAACGCTGCACCTCCCTTTCACATTCCAGGCTCTGACCTTCGACCCCTCCTAATTGCTGATTCCTACACCCCACTTCTCTGAGGCCCAGCTTTGGCTCATCCCCCCAGTCACCTTCTCACAGGGAATCCAAGGAATCAGAGCCCTACTAGAGTACTTGGACGACAGGTACAAGCCCTGTGCCCTCAACCCTGCCAAGCCAGGCAGAGGCCTGAACCCCAGAGCCCAATCTCCAGACTCTACATCAGAGCTCAGACTGGGCCTCTAGTCTGACTTCTGACCCTAACTCTCCAACCCTGAGAAGTGAGCGGGAGGAGGCAGCTTGGCTCACGATGCATGGTCACAGAAGCCAGGGCCTTACTGTGTGGTCACTCAGCAGGTGACCCCATTCTGCAGCCAGCCTCATCAAAGCCACAGAACTCTGAGACACAGGAACGCAGCTCATTTTTTTTTCACTGCTGCTTGGGTCAAACACACTGTTAACCTTCCCAGACCAAGTTGTGATGATTTTTAAATCCACATCCCACAAACCCCTGAGCGCTGGTGCACACAGACAGGCTCTGTGGCCCCTGGGTCAACTGCCCCCATAGGCTCCGCCCAGTCATTTCTTTGGGAAGAGCGGCTTGCTCTCGGAACCAGGGACTGGGGACCACAGGGCCCAGAGAAACACTGAGAACACTGAGCTGGCTCTAAGTCCAGCTTGGGCTGCCCCCAAGCCTTGACCGGATCCCACCACCCAGAGCCTGTCCAGGTCACCAACAGGATGACGAGGCCCTCCCCGGCCCACTGCCCAGGGCACTCACCATCCTCTTGGCTGTGGAGGTTCTGCGGACTCCGCATCCTCTCGTCCTGCCTGGGGCTCAGGCTGGAGGCCAGGTGGGGGTCAGCTGACATCCATGTGGAGTCATTCATATCAAAATCTTCACTGCTCACAGACGTCTCATCCTGAGCAGGGACAAAGGAAGTGGGTGTTCAACAGGGACAGGCTCACATTGGGCTGAGGTGGCCTGTTTTGGGGGGGGACTTAGAACTGACTTAGACAGCACAGAGGGCTGGGTGGTGCTTTGCCTGCCCCCATGGAAGTGGTCAGGGCTCTGGTTCCTGTCGGAAGCCAGAGCTGAGGGCCCGCGCTGTCTGTAATTGAAGACAATTACGAGGTCTCACATCCTGTGCAGCGGATGGCAGGGCCTGGCTCTTACCCTTGTGAGCCAAGGTTGAAACAAGCCTTGTAAACAAGGGCCCTGACTTCCCACCCAAAGAAGCCTGAGGAAGAGGGCTCCCTGGGCCAGGCAGCCAGCCTTGGGTAGGTGGACAAGCTGGGCGCCCCCACCAGGACTCCCAGAGAGCATGCATGGAATTCCTTTCTCCCACTCCCCCAGCCCAGAGGACATTTCTGTCTTCCTCCTTCCTAACCTTTGCTGTGCTTCAAAGATATGCTCTTGGGCGGCTTCCAGAGCTGAAAAGGCCAGCCCCAGAAGTGTGGAGAAGGAAGGGGGTGGGGCAGGCCAGGGTTCTGATCAGATGGCAAGGGGGGATTCGGCTCAAGGGCCTGAGGTGGGGGTGGGGGGCGCCAGGGCCTTCCAAACAGCCGGATGGCCGGCTGGGCTGGAGAGGACCACGCCTGCTCCTTTCCCCTCTCAGCTGGTCAGTCATCCGGGAACCCCCGGGGCGGGGCCCCTTCAATCCAGCCCTCCAGCAGGAAGGGACCCCACCTCCTTCTAGCCCAGCCTCTTTCAGGAGCAGTAAGCAACTGTGTTTGGGAACCCACTGTAAAACACAGGAAAGATGAGCCAGCAGCTCCACACCCAGAACTAGCCTCGCCTCCTTTTCTCCCAGGCCCCAGCAAGATACAATGGCCTCTGTGGGCCCAGAGCAGAGCAACCCCCAAGCCTCCCCTCCTGGGCCCCCTCACAGACGTCTCTTTTATGGTGAGCAAACACACTTTGGTTTGAACTTTCTTCGGCTGCCTTCCCAGAGGCAGACACATCTGCTCCAAGCGCTAGGGAACAGGGCTGCGCCTCCGCTCCCTCCCCGTTCGCCAGCAGAGTTTCCTGGAAGTCTCAGCTTCTGTACGGCACTGTGGACCCTCAGCACTGAGTTTGGAGAGCAGGAGCAGGGCCCGCAGACTCCAGGATAGAGCCTACACATGTGACCCCATATAAGCACTGGGCACTCACACTGGGCTGCGTGCTTCACCCATGCAAGCACAGCCTTCCACAGCCTCCCTGCTAACAACACCTTACTCACATTCACTTTCAGGGAGGGACGTGCCATCCAGAGCAAAGGCTCTTTCTGAGGTGAAACTCTCTTATACATTAGCACGGGGGAGAAGCTAGTAGGTAGAGGGTCTCTGGGAGCCGTGGCGCCCTGCAGGCAGGCTCTGGGAGGCAGAGCAGGGCTTCCAGGCTTGGTCTCCTGAACACACTGAAAGCACAGAAACTTGTGGAGAATGAATCAAAAGACCATGTTTCCTGGGCTAAGGGCATGACTCAAATGGCAGAGCAACTATCTAGTAAGTTCAAGGCCCCGAGTTCAAAACCCAAGTACCACCAAAAACAAACTAAAACATCTTTGGAAAAGGTCTCCTATAACTTTTTTTTTTTTTTGCTTTCCTTAGAGATCTAACCCAGGTTCTTAGCACAGGACACAGCACTCTAGGCAAGCAATCCACCACCAAGCAATGTTCTCGCAGCCTCAAATTTTCTTTTTAGATGGGATTAACCCCTTTGTACAGCACCTTAAAAACAATGAAATTGTGTGTGTGTGTGTGTGTGTGTGTGTGTGTGTGTGTGTGTTTTAAAGACAGGAGTTCATCATGTAACCCAGGCTGGCCTTGAACTCAGGATTCTCCTGCCTCAGCCTCTGGAGTGGCACAATCACAGAAGGCACACTTGGGCTGGGCTGATTAACATTTAAAAGCATCACCTATTCAGAGTCCCCATTCATTCACTCAACAAGTATTCACTGAACACAACCAAGGGCCATGGCGCTGGCTAGATGTGGAACTTCAGCTGTGGACCCACAGCTGATGCCCCCTTCCCTTCTGCCCCCATCCACCGAGGAGATAAACCCTAACACTAACCATCTCATACTGTTGGCAGTGGGGCTGCAAAGCAAACTAAAGCAGGAGACAAGGGGCGAGTGACCTGCAAGGCCATTTGTCACGATGGTCAGGGGCACTGAGAGAGGTGGGGGAAGGGAGCAAGGGGGTGGTATGAGTCCACACAAATGGCCTTCTGCACATGGGCAGCAGCAAGCTGGGCATGTGCTACCTGCTGCAATACAGAGCAAGAAGAAGGCTGATGTGGCTGGGTGGTGCGTGGCTCAAAGCTGGGACAGCATTTCTTTTTTCTTTTTGTATGTCTGTCTGTCCTGAGGCTTGAACTCAGGGTATAGGCACTTTCTCTATAAATTTTTTTTGCTCAAGGCTAGCAGTCACAGCTCTACTTCTGGCTTTCTGCTAGTTAACTGGAGACAAGAGTCTCATGGACTTTCCTGCCCGGCTGGCTTCGAACTGCAGTCCTCGGATCTCAGCCTCCAGGGTAGTTAGGATTACAGGCCTGAGCCACAGGCACCCAGTGTGGTGTAGCATTTCACTGCACCCAGAGGGGCTCAGGGATAAGTCAGGAAGGCAGGAATGGTATTGAAGGCTCAGTGCTCAGCAGGCAGGTGGCCAATCAAAACCAGCTCAAGCAAAGCCAAAGCAGTCCACAGGCTAAGTGCTCCCTTCCCTTACTGGGCACACTCCACTCTCCCTAGGCCCATGAGATAGGGGAAGTTAGAACCATGATCCTCAGATCTCAGCCTCTCAGTCACTAGGCATGTACCATGGGCATCCAGCTTGGGGTAGCATTTCACCATATCCAGAGAGGCTCAGATCTGAGGATCACAGTTTGAAGCCAACCCTGGCATGAAAGCCCATGAGACTTTGAGAAAGATCAAGAGACAGACACCTAGAGACCAAGGCTCATGCCTAAGGCCATGTACTAACAAGCGGCAGGGCCAGATCTGTGCCACTGCATAGGCCCAGATATGCCCCCATCCTGTCTCCAAACTTCTGTCCCCTTCCATCAGCTCTGTCCTGTTCTTCACAGTTTTCTTCTTAAGCCATCTGCCTGTCCACATTGTTAGCCTAGCCATAGCTACGGGGCTGTCTTGTCTTCCCCCCTTCCAAGAGTGGAGACTATACTGTGTGCTCTGAATTCCCCACGAGGCCACCAAGACTTGAAGAATTGACTCAACTGCATGGCAGGATGCTGGTGTTTAATGAGGATGCCACATTAATTTGACAATTAAGGATTCTGGTCCCACTGTGTATGGCTCTTGAATGGAGGCCATATGAAAACCTGTCCCCTGACTGGTAGGCTGGCAGTAGTGTGCTATCCCCTGCTGCAGCTGCCAGCCACCCCACACACGGCCACTCAAATGGACTGTACCCCATCCTGCCCTGCAGGTCCCATTGGGAAGAGGTGGGCTGTGGTTTATACTGATAATGAAATCACCTGATAAGAACATCGGGTGCCCAAACACATGAGGTTTCTGGGAGAGGGTTTTATGAGAGGCTCGCACCCAGGGCCAGCCTCTCTGTAGATCTGGTCACAACACTAGAAGGCTTAAGCTTGCCCATCTGCCCAGGGCACGCAGCCAGTGGTAGAGCTGGGGTCTGAATCACAACAGTCTGAACCCAGAGCCCACAAGGTCACATGCCACACTTCTATACTCAGTCCTTAGTGACACAGTGCCTTAAGATGAGACCCAGGGGGAACTCACGGGGAAGCTGTGCACATGCACACTGTCTTCAAAAGCGCTGAGTGTCTGCTCTGCGCTCCAGACCTTTTCATGGAGCAAGGAGATGAGAAACAAGCTAAAAATTCCGGCTCACTCACAGGCGTTGGGGTAGGAGCATGTGAGACTCCTGCCCAGTGACTTCACGATGGCTTTCTTCAAAGCCCCTGGGATTCTGCCACTTGAACCCCAGCTTTGAGAGCAGTGATTGAAAATTTCACCACCTTGACTGCTATAACTATTTTTTTATTTTATTTTTATTTATTTATTTTTAAATTTTTTTTGGGGGGGGGGTCCGGTCATGGGGCCTGAACTCTGGGCCTGGGCGCTGTCCCTCAGCTCTTCAGCTCAAGGCTAGCACTCTACCACTTGAGCCACAGCGCCACTTCTGGCTTTTCTTTTCTGCTTATGTGGTGCTGAGGAATCGAACCCAGGGCCTCAGGCATGCAAGGCAAGCGCTCTACCACTGAGCCACCTTCCCAGCCCCCTATTAACTATTTTTTAAAGAGAGAAATCAAATGTATGGGAAACAAATTGAAAAGTCAAATAAGTTCTGGTCAGATTGGTGTGGCCCACCTTTATCGTCTACTATGTAGGGATGACCTGAAAAGACTTCCCAAGAACTCTCTGCACCCCACCTTTTGCAGCAGAGCTCTGCTACCAGGGGGGAGGGCTGCCAGCACAGAGGGGAGATGGAGAACTTCTAGAACTCACTCAGGACCATGCCAGGGCTAAGCAGCCTGATTACACAGGCAGTTATCAGCACATAGAGCTGAGAACCCCATCCCTCCTCTACATCCGGAGGGACCTGCAGAAGGGAGTGGTGAGGCCTCAGGTCTATGCTGAGACTGAGGGGCTCCCTCGTTCCCCCAGAGGTCACAAGCCAGTCACTTCTTGCTGGTCCCTTCTGGAATCCCAAGGGAATTTGGGCCACCGATGATCTCTTCCTGTTAACAAGTTTCAGTGTTACTTGCATTAGAAAAGTATGTGTAGTTGGTTGGTGTCTGGGTCCTCTCTCACCACACCCTGTGTAACTGGATAGGCAGCTGTCCCTGGTACTTCAAACCTTTGCCCTTGGACCACCTGAAGCTCTGTGGCCTTGCCCCCATGGTAATCTAAGTCTGCCATATATTTGGCACCGTCAGGCCTGAGTCATAGTG